ATGTCTGATGACTCTGGATCATTGCTTATTCCTGACTCTGGACATGTTGGGTATACCTGTTTAATGATGGACCTCTTGAGAGCCCCTTACACTCTGCAATGGGTTCCCGCCTCATCCAAAAGTGAAGAAGAGGGGTCTGGCCCCCATTCGCTGTGGCTCTTTCAAATAGACAGAGGGCTATGCTGAGGGAAGCAGAGGGCGATGCTGATACTTAGGAAAGCTGCAGAGAGAAAGTATGGCCCCAGCCAAACATTTGGAAGGAAAGAAGCAATACATTATTTCTACCCAGAGTAGAAGAAGAAAAGAGAGGCCATGGTTAATGAAGGAAATCCATGTCATAAACAAAGGCTTGGAGAACCATGGACCAGTCAGGGCTACATTTGCCAGGCATTTATTTTACATATAAATTTATGACAGACTTTGAACCAGAGATTACACATGTTGCTAATGGGGATCTTATTTAAAATGACAAAACTTATGTTAAATATTTATTATTATTATTTTTTAATCCTCACCTGAGAATATTTTTCCATTGATTTTTAGAGAGAGGGAAAGACAGAGAGAAATATCAATGTGAGAGAAACACATCAATTGGTTGCATCCTGCATACGCCCTGACCAGGGCCTGGGCCAGGGAGGAGCCTGCAACTGAGATATGTGCCCTTGACCAGAATCAAACCGAGGACCCTTTGGACTGCAGTCCGATGCTCTATCCACTGAGCCAAACAGGCTAGAGTGACAAAACTTTAATATACTTTTTAAAAAAGTGAACAAATTAAAACAACTCTAGTCTTCCTCAGTACTTTTTTCCTGTTAAGAGTCCTAATTCTTTTCCTTGAAAGTCAAAACAAATGATGAGGGGAGGTAGAGATCCTGGAAGGAGGAACCTGGAGAGCTAAAGAGGGAAAAAACTTGTGGCTCAAACAGAAGACCTCTTCCATGCTTCTGAATGAGGTGGGAATTGGCCCTAGAGTACAGGGAGGCTAGCAGGAAGAAACAGGCTGTGGAGTAAGGTAGCTACTATACTGGTACCATGTTTGTCATTTTGTATGTCACATGGCAAGGTGGTTGAAGAAGTTGAAGGTGGCATGCAAAATATTTTGCATAGATAAACTTTTATATGTTACTTTCCTTCATTGCTGTCATGGATCTGTAACTCAGAAAAAAAATTCTGTGAAGTCAAAATTCAAGTATATTTCTTACTTTCATCATTTCTTCATAGAAGAGATAGAGAATGGGGTGACTCTCTTTCTTCTTCCACCAGCCTTTCACGTGATCAAACCAGGAACCCCATACCACTGGAAGGAAAGCACATAAGTGAGAGTAGGAAAAGACAGAAGAGAAAATGAGTTGTTTCCTCAGAATACAAATGGAAGGTGTGCTTTGTCAACACAAGAGCAGAAGAACTTACTTTTTATACATCCTATATCCATATTCTGCATTACTTTTCTTCCTTTTGGAAGCTGGCAAGATTACACTCAGGCTCTAGAGCCTACTGGGTTTGAATCTCAGTCCTGACATAGCTGTATGACCCTGGGCCAGTTACTTAACCTCTCTTAGCCTCAGTTATTTTAATTCTCATCTCTGAAAGAGAATCAATAATAGTACCTATGTCATAAGATACTATTAGGATGTATTAATTTATTCTGCAGAGCCTACTATGTGCTCAGCACCATCCTAGGTATTGGGGATAGAGCAGTGGACAAGACAGGTGGAAAGCCCTATTCTGGAAGTGCATCTTGTAGGGGAGACAAATGAGATAAATGTGAAATACGTAGTATATGAGATCATAATGCATGTTTAGGAGAAAAAAGAAATCAGAGAAGGAGAGGGGAAATGTTGCATTTATGTAGAAGGTTTAAATATTCATAGTCTTGCCAGAGAAGGATTCTTTAAGAAGGCAAGATTGCATAAAAACCTGAAGAAGGAAAGTGCATTCCTGGGCAGTGGAACAGTAAGGTAAAGTGCTGGAGCAGAAACTGCCTTGTGTTTGAGGTATAGCAAGGCAGCCAATGGGACTAGGACAGACTAAGAGAGGGGCAAAGGAACAGGAGAAAAAATGTGAGCGGAAAGGAGGCTCAACCCTATGGGCCTTATGGGTCACAGTTCAGGCTTAGGCTTTCACTCAGTGAAATGGAATGGCGTTGGTGGGCTTTGAGCAGAAGAATGAGGTGATCTGACTTCCCTTTTAATAGAATCTCCTTGGTTTCTGTGTGTAAAATAGATTGTAGCTTGGCAAGGTCAGAAGCTGAGAGATGGGACAGGGGCTTTTCATTTTTCCAGGGAAGGTGTGATGGTAGATTGGACCAAAGTGGTTGGAGAAGTGCTCAGGACAGATAAGATTCTACATATAGTTTGAAGGTAGGGTTAACAGATTTGCTGTTTGATTGGGTGGGGTGAGTAAGAAAGAAAGAGGCTCAAGATAAGGTCAAGATTGTAGGCATAAGAAACTTAAAGCACAGTCACAATTAACTAAGATGTGGAAGCCTCCAGAAGGAAAGACAAAAGTTTGGATTTGGACATGTGAAGTCTGAGATGCCTCATAGTCATCCAACTGGAGAAGTCAGTGAGGCAGCTGGGTCTATGTACCCAACACAGGGTGGAGGCCAAGAATAGAAGTGCAAATCTGTGGGTCATCAGCAGATGGATGACATTTGAAACTAGGAGATGATTGGGATAACCCCAAATCTGCTTCATCAGGTCTCTCTCTCTCTCTCTCTCTCTCTCTCTCTCTCTCTCTCTCTCCCTCCCTCCCTCCCACCCTCGCTCCACGAAGGAGTGCGGGAGAGGAGGACACTGGTATTTTTTTGATTTTCCAAGATTTCAGCATGGTGTACCTCTTTATCTCACGTAGGACGGGGAGTTGGAACTACACTCAGCTCTAATTTAGAAAGATCCATCTATACATCACACCAGTCCCATGCTCTCAAATTCTTCAACTAGGTCACTTCTTTGTGGCTCATTCTTTGTCAAAAGCATCTGACATCACTGTTAGAACATCCACTGTGAAATTTGCTGAAGACATTAAATCAGTAAAAATACCTCAGGGTATAAATGGATCATTCTCAAAATGTATCTTATAAGGAGCAAATTAGCAATAATAGCTTTTGTCATTTAGGATTATAGAAATCAAATGGCAATTAAAGGCATATTTTCACACTTTACTGTAGACCAGTGGAAAAGAATACTTTAAAAATATTGTTATTGATTTCAAAGAGAAAGGGAGAGGGAGAAAGGTAGAAATGTCAATGATGAGAGAGAATCATTATTGGCTGCTTCCTACATGCCCCCACAATCCAGGCATGTGCCCTGACCCAGAATCTGAATTATGACCTCCTAATTCATAGGTCACACTCAACCTGTGAACCACACTGGCCAGGCATGGAAAAGAATATTTTATCAAATTTATTCATAATTATTTTAGAGGTATAGGACTCAACTATAGGAGAACTGTAGAGGGCAATTATTTCTTCATAGATCAATATAAATAATTAGCAAAAGGATTTCAGACATAAATTTTGAGCTTAAATAACCAAGTAATATAGTGCTTAAGTTTTAATCATGCAAAGCTGCCAATTCAACTGCAAAGTATAAAACAATCTGCTCCTATATTTATATTACACCTCCCAAAAGGTATAAACTTGAAAAGGTTTGCTTAAATTACATTTTTTAATGTTTGAAAAATCTTGTTCCTATGAAGTATTCAGATATACGCAAGAGTAGAGGCGATAGTATAATGACTGTCCATGAACCCATTACTCAGTTTCAATAATTTAATCACTTTTAAAAATATATATATTTTTTATTGATTTCAGAGAAGAAGGGTGAGGGAGAGAGAGATAGAAACATCAATGATGAGACAGAATCATTGATTGGTTGCCTCCTGCACACCCCCTACAGAGCATTGAGCCTGCAACCTGGGCATGTGCCCTTGAGTAGAATCGAACCTGGGACCCTTCAGTCAGCAGGCTGACTGCTCTATCCACTGAGCCAAACCAGCTAGGGCAATTTAATTACTTTTTAATGTTCTTCAGGAGAAGGACTGATGTATTAAAAGGTCTAGTAGTATTTGAGATTTAGAAAAACGTCAAGAATCTTGTGGTAACTTAGTTTTGACACTGGAAGCATGATTGCAAGGCCATACATTTCTGCACATGTAGTTTGTTATTTTGAAGCACCATGGGCCACCATGTTACAAACTCATGATGGTCATGGTTAGAAAACTTGATCATGCACAAAACCTTTCTCTCCAGTTGAACATGTAGGTAATTGGGAAGACTTTAACATGGTAGCCAAATACACAGGATTTGAGCTTAATTAGTCCTGCCTATGTTCAAATTCTAGTCCCTACTCTGCTAACAGGGTAATCATCAGTTCTGTAAACTCAGTCTCAATTTCACCACCTGTGAATTATGGATATTATTACTGTAAAGATTAAACAAGCAAATTCATGTAAACCATTTAGTATATGTTTAGAGTTGGAACCAACTTTTATTATAGCTGCTTTCCCTACAGTACAGTTTTGGCTTTATTCAGTGGACATATTGTCATTGGACACAGATACACATACAATGACAAGTAGCCAGAGCTATGCCACATCTCTCAGGAATGTTGCCTCTTGTCTTCCACCCCCTGTAATCAGAGTTTCTTCTGTGAGTGAATTTTATGGAGAGAATTTTATAGAAAGAAGAATTTTATGAGGAAACTTTATCCTCTGCAGACATGGGTAAGACTGGTTCCTTCCATTTGGCTTACCTTTGCCTGACAGGAATGTTTCAAAGTATTCATCCCAGCTTCCTGGGTCTGGGAGTCCTTTGTTCATCTTTTGAAAATAGTAGTAGGACACCATGTTGTCTTTGACATTCCTTGCCACATAAATTATCTAAAGTGGTCAGAAGAAATGGAAGAAACAAAATGTAAATTTAAAAAAAAAGATTTAGGAAAAAAGGACCAGTGCCTTGTGAATTTCTGAACTCTGAACCAAGAAAGGAGGAGCAGAAACACCAAGACCAGATGTCCCCTTTCATTCATCTGCCCAGAAGTTTAGCTTTGGAACATCTGTAATTTACATATCTACATTCCAGTCAGAATGAGTCCCAGATAATGTACTCATTTGTTTTCTGGGTTGCATTGTAAGGGAAATAGTTCTAGAGGTAGAAACCCTCGGTGAAAACTCCATGAATTTCCTTCTGTCAATTAGGAAGATTTAAGTGGCATTAACTTCGACAGAAAGCTCAAAAAGGAAAACCGAGAGACAGAAAATGAGCAGAGAATGGCAGCAAGAGGTACAACTTCAGAAGTAGAAGGCAACCAACCGACTGGCAAAGAAGACTCATCCATTGTGACTGTGGCAGGCCCCGGGGCGGAAACCAAGGCAGGCCAGCCTCTGGAAAACAGCTCGTTCATGGCCGAGCTTCTGAGCGACGTGCCCTTCACGTTGGCCCCGCACGTGCTGGCCGTGCAGGGCACCATCAGTGACCTTCCAGACCACCTGCTCACCTGTGACATCAGCGAAAACTTATCACGGTTTTGGTATGATTTTACTCTTAAAAATTCAGTGCTCTGTGATTCATAGTTTTTATATTTGTACCTTAACAGCTTTAAAACAAAAGTTTGCCATTGTATTTAACGTGTTTGATGTTCTTTGCCATTTCACTGTCTAAATGCCCTCAGAAAAGCAAGGATCATAAAGTATGTTCATTGCTCTGTTTTTCAGAATAAAGTACATTTGTATAAAAAAAATAAAAATAAAAATAAAGATTTAGAAATTGAGCATTTAATGTGCATAGTACCTGTCTGTGTTCACAGACCAAGTTCTAAAGGCCACAAATACATTTTTGTTCTCTTCCACTCATCATCCCATCAGCCAGTATAAACTTGTAAATATGAAAATCTGATCAAGTGGCTCCCTTGTGTAAAATTTCAATATCTGTTTATTGCTCTTAGTATTAAGTATAAGGCCCTGTGTGATCTGTCTCTCAGCCAGCTCTCTAACTTCCTTTTGCTCACTCCTTCCACAGTACACTACTTTTCAGTTCTCTGATCTTTGTGGCCATTGTTTTTAGTGTGTACTATTCTGCCATTCCTCTCTTAAACCAAGAGGTCTTACACTGATGGACATCAAGAGGACTGTGCCTCTCCTTTAAGTAGCAAGCAAAATGTTGTATAGGTGTGTACTTTGATAGAAGTGAAGACATGACTTATTTCAGATTCTCAGTAGGGTCTGTGATCACTAAAACTTAAAAACCTTTAATTTAAATGTTGGGGTTTTTTTAGAGCTCTGTTTGAAGCCTACATTTATTCTTATTTTGTTCACTTTTTTTGCACCTTCTTCTGTTGCTCTAAATTTCATATATTTATGACAGATTTGTTCCCAACACATACCACTCTCCTAAGCTACATGCTTTTATATCTATACCTGAATACCTTTCAGGCATTTCAGATTTAATGGGCTCAAAATTAAATTCATACTCAGATAAACTTACTCTTCCTCCTTCGTTCACTTTTTTTCATTAACGGTACCACTACCAAACAATCAAAATCACAAAATCATACTAGATGCTTCTTTTTAAAACTCTTCCAAGCCAATCCTTGACCAAGTATGTAGATTCTGTCTTTTCTTTACATTTGGAATTCATCTCCTTACTGCCCATATTTAATTTTTAAAATTTACTTTTAAAATTAAATTTATTGGGGTAACATTGATTAATAACATTATATAAATTTCAGGTATACAGTTCTATAATACATCATCTGTATACTTCATTGTGTGCTCATCACCCAAAGTCTAGTCTCTGTCACCATGTATTTGACTCCCTTTAATCTCTTCATCCTAATTCAAGTCTTCCTAATTCCTTTCTAACCCTAATCCTCCCTCCCTCCCTCCCTCCCTCCCTCCCTCCCTCCCTCCCTTCCTTCCTTCTTTCCTTCCTTCCTTCCTTCCTTCCTTCCTTCCTTCCTTCCTTCCTTCCTTCCTTCCTTCCTTCCTTCCTTCTCACCAGAGGATATTTTTCCATTGATTTTTAGAGAGAGTGAAAGAAAGAGGGTGAGACAGAGAGAAATATCGATTTGAGAGAAACACATTGATTGGTTGCCTCCTGCATGCACCCCAACCAAGCCCAGGGCCGGGTAGGAGCCTACAACTAGGTACGTGCCCTTGACCGGAACTCAACCTAGGACCCTTTGGTCCACAGTCCGATGCTCTATCCACAGAGCCAAACTGGCTAGGGCACCCAGTTCTTTTTGCCCCTCCACATTGCCATGTCCCCATGGGATCTTTCTAAAATGTAAATGGAATCATTCATTTTCTTGTTCAAATTCTTCTATGTGACCCATATATTGACATTGGTCTTTAGTCATTCCCC